AAATTCTTTGCTATCACATTCCGCTCTCCCCACGTCCTCCCCATCTTTTTTTAACTTCACCCTCTAGCTCCCTTCTTCATGTGTTTTTTGGGCTCCCTTTATTTCTATGCCCTTGTGGGTTCCAGCGCAAAAACATTCTAGTATACTGTTCTCAGGTTTTCTCTATGTGTGTTCTATCTGTGCTAGCATCTTCTCCTCTTGGTCCACTGGAACTTTTCCAAAGCTCTACATTAGTTATTCTATCATACCATCTAATTCCTTCTATTTTAGCACTCACCGGCTGTAAACTCCAGCATAAGGTTCTGGTTGTTCATCCACTTCTGGACTTTAGTCCTGTTCCAAGACTTGTGTTTTATGTGCACATCTGTTCAACAGATCTGGCTTATTATTATGCAGGCTGTTGGTTCGAAGGAGACATCCCTAATTAGTTGCCTTGTACAACATGTTTGTTCGTGATGGTGGGGAAGGGGGCAATGGGTCTATCTCTCGCCCCCTAAACCCCATTGGAGCCTCAAAATCCATTTGGGGAAAAGTTAATTTTATGAAATGGAATAGAAGCTCTGTCAGGCATATAGACAGAATCTTCGGATGTGGCATTTTTCACAGCATGCATTGTTCGAAACACACTAGTGTTACCTTTCCTTTGGAGTAAATAAAGAAGGCCAAGATCTGTTTGGGCAACAGATGATCTCTACCATACTGTTCAACAGCAGATAGATAAATACACTCAAAACAAACATTTAAAAAAAAACTCTGAACACACAATATGGAAGTGAAGTGGTCACCTCATATCACTACTCTGTAACTTGAAACATATGGACACCTGTGTGGAAGTAGATTATTCACATACAAGCTCACCTTCAGCTCTGGAGGGAAGATAGGCTCCTGGGTGGAGTCATACAAGGGAGGTGTGGTGGCACAGCCATTGAATTCCTGCTAAATATATAATTTTTTGGAATTTAATTAAAATGTTGAAAATGACCTGTGTGGGTTCTGTGCCCCATTTGGGCGAGAGGGGGGGAGGAGAAAAGAACAGACCCACTACTTCCTTACGCGGCATCCGTGGCTTAGGCATTGCCAATCCGACTCGTAATCCAACGTACGGTGATCAAAACCCACTGCTGGCTACGTGGATTTTTCTCATGTTATGGGGCATCGCAGGTCGACCCAGTCTAAAATGGGTACCAGGATGGCTGTCCTAGGGAAGTAAAGACGGCCGGCGTAATGCTTACCACATTACCCATCCAGTGCCGACTGGTCTGTAAAAATATAGGACGCTTTTCGCATATAACCAATGCGCCTAAGGCGCGAAACGGGATCTTTACTTTACTTTCTGCCCCCTAACTAGCATGTCATAATAGGCTACTAATTAGGAATGTTATCTCTCTGAAGTCAGAGTGCATTTGCCTAAGAGGTGAGGAACCAATAGTCTGCATACAAATAAGTTAGATCTCTAAAACAGATGTGCAGGTAAAACTCCAGTTCTGGAACAAGATCAAAGTTCAGAAATGGACAAACAACCAGAATCTTCCATCAGAGTTTACAATCGGTGAGCGTGAAGAAGAACAAGAACAAAATACAGACAAAAAAGCCTAGGTCGAAAATTGATACATGATACCATTACAAAATATCAGGTTTACTAAGCAGAGCTGCTGTGGTTTAGTGGCTAGATACTAGCCTGCAGATCAGAAGGTCAAAGGTTTGGGTCCTGGCTGAGCCAGATTTAAAAAAAATGATCTTGGCTTCCAGGCCAACCTAACCTTAAATGGACACCAGGTACAGTCCTGGGAAGTAAAGGGGGCCAGCATGATGTTGACTACGTCACCCACCAAGTGTTGATTGGTCTATAAAATATAGGTCTAGCCCTATATGCCCACATTTAAAGGTGTGGAAAAGGGTCCTTTACTTTTTTCTTTTTACAGGTTTACAAAAAACATGACTGTTAACTCTTTCAGTCCCAGGGGGGTTAGCATCAGAGGTCCAAAGGATAGTAAAGAGAACTGGCGTTCACTGGGCTTCTAGGTGTGAACCTATGAACACATGATATATTCCTTGGGACTGAAAGAGTTATGGTATCTTCTTCTCTGCACTCCTCGGATGTAAACCCAGGCAGAAAGTTGTGGCTGTTCATCCACTTCTCGACTTTAGTCTTGTTCCCAAACTTAAATTTTGCATGCACATCCGTTTTACAGATATAGCTTACTTGTATGCTGACAGTTGGTTTCTTGTCTCTCAGGCAGATGTACTATGAAAACACCCCTTATTAATGGCTTTATGACATGCTTATTAGGAAGGCAGTGGATCTATTCTTCCACCCAACCAACCGTAATGGGGGCACCGGAACCCACACTAGGATAAAACATGAATGTCACCTAACAGGGAAAAACATGTATTTCTTTACCACAAGTCATCAACATCTACCTACCATGTCATGATTGTTGTCTCCATTGCTAGTTGAAACTCCATTTTGGCAGCATGCTTTCCCCATTGGGCACTTGTTCTGAAATGATATATCATAATAACTGCACTTGTTTCATTAAATATTTTTGGGGGGGACATTCGTTCTCAGAGAACTGGCTCATAAACAGCATCTCGCCCTGAAAGCTGAGGTGTTTTGGCCATGCTAAACGTAATGGTGGCCTGTGAAGAAGGGTGATGCAGAGTACAGTTTCCAGGAAATTTAGGCAAAGGCAAGCTTCTGCAAATGTGGATACGAGACACTGATGATGCACTGGCTGTGAAAGCACATTGGGCTGGAGAACTAGCTGAGAAAATGAGACTTTTAGGTGTGCCGTGATGAGAGTGAGGTTGGATTAAAGACCTGCTGGTTAATGATAAACTGCAAATCTTTTACTACATCATCATCATCATCATGTGCCCTGCCAACTGGTGTAGGCGCTTATGCATCTCCACCGATCACAATTCCTGGTTGCCTGGAACAGCTCTCTTGATGATATCCCCCCATGCCATCGTTTCAGCCCATCCAGCATCATTACGCTTGGTATGCCTTTACCCCTTTTTCCACTGATCTTTCCAGTTGTCACTATGTTCTCCAATGTCTCTCTTCTCATTATGTGGCCAAAGAACAGTGTTTGTCTCTGATTCACTAGATATTATTTTGAAATTCTCTTTGCCTCAATCAATCACTTACACACTCCCTCTCTTTCTCTCTCTCTCTCTCTCTCTCTCTCTCTCTCTCTCTCTCTCTCTCTCTCTCTCTCTCTCTCTCTCTCTCTCTCTCTCTCTCACGCAGATGTGTATAGCATACATCCACACATAATTCACTCAAAACTTATTTCACTCACAGACACCCCACACCTTGTGGTAAATTAAATATGTGGCGGTAGTTCCAGATTCATAATCAATACTCATCAATTGAAGGGTGAGGTTACCCTACAGTCTTTACTTTTCAAAACATTTCCTTATGTCCAGTTTAACAGTTTAGTGATAAGGTCAGTCTTACAATTTTGCCTCAACAGAGATTCGAACACATGATCATTGGGTAGGCAGGTTAAATTTACACATATGCAGAACTTAAAATTAATTAACATTATTTTTATTTTTTTTATTTTTAAATTAAAGAAGTTAACATCAGAGTCACTGAAGCAAACCAAGTATTGAGACAGCTATCGCCCCCTCTTACAGCATAAGACAATCCCAATCAGTATAAAGAAATATTTTATTCAAAGCAGATTATTTCCCACTCTGTGCTACCAGTGCCAAACATGGTCACTCACACACAAAAACATGAAAGACAAATAGTAACCAATGGTAATGAGATGTCTGAGAAGGGCTTCTAGAGTGGCCATTAGAGATAAAATCAGGAATGAGGTCACAAGAGAAAATGCTGCACCGAACCAATTCTAAATTACATACAAAAACAGCAAATCAAAAGGTTTGCCCACTTAAGGAGAATGCCTTGTGACATCATACCATGCAAGGCATATACCAAAGGAGACAAAGGATGTAGAGCACAAACAAGATGGAATGATAACATCATAGAAACTCTACAACAGCACGATTTGTCAATGCTCAAGGCGGCTAAAAGAGCATGAGGCAGAACTTTTATATCTCCCTTGATACCCAAAATGGTAAAAGAGGAAGTGAAGAAGAAGAGGAAGAATCATAATTTTTTTCCTTTAATTACCATTATCTTGCCCAGATTTCCCTAAACATTCATTTTCGTATATGTATGTGTTATTTGTCTATCTAGCCTTGTCCAGAATTTCTTAAACATTCGTTTTAGTATATGTTTGTGTTATTTGTCTGTCTAGTATTGTCCATCATCATCATCATCATGTAGCAGGTCCTTTGCAGAACGTAGCTCTCATCACAGTCTGCCTGAAAGAAACTCAGTCTCTCGACAGTTCTTCCGCCTCATGCATTTTCACATGCAAAGAGTCACCTATATTCTGTGCCCATCTTCGTGTCGGTCGGCCCCTGCCCCTCCTTCCTGGTACCATGCCTTCTGCTATAATTTTTTCCAATCCGTGGTGGCGCTTGATATGACCAAAATATTTCAGCTTTCGGGAAAGGTTGCTGTTTATTAGCCAATCTTTCTTGATGTTCAGATCTTTTAAGATGTCAATATTTCGCATCTTCTTTGTCTAGTATTGTCCAGATTTCCATAAACATTTATTTGTGTATATGTTTGTGTTATCTGTTTGTCTCACTTTGTAGGTGTCACATTTTGTAATGATTCCCTCACAACTCACCTGACATGCAAATGCACTAAAACCTTCCAAGATTGGACGGTATCCTGTGCAGCGACACAAGTTTCCTAAAAAAAAACAGCAAGATAATAACTGTATAATGAAAATGACAAGTAATATTAGTTTAAATCTACCCACCACCCTAGGTCTTCATGGCAAAGTGGTCAAGCGTTTGCCTCGTGCTCTGAAGGTCGTGGGTTCATTTTATGGTGGCACAGTTCAGTTCTTGAGTTCAATTTTTTACATAGATCCCTGGGGATTGTCACCGGAGCTACAGAGATCATGCTTTGTGTGATGCTCTCAGCAGGTAGCTAGCTGTTCTGCAGACAGAGACTGAGCCATATGGGATAAAACCCGGTGCAATAAAGTCTATCCTCTCACCTCTACCTAGCCCATCACCCCAAATCAGCCCTCCCCTTCTGTACTCTTCTTCTTCTACTTCTACTTATTCTTTGTATCCCTCAATATATCACCATCCATTTCAACCCTGCTCTTATTTCTAAGCTAAGTAGGTAGTTTTTGTCCCTCCATGGCTGCAGTTCACAGGATCAACACCTCAAGGACAAGAATCCTATATGCACAAATCCCAGAAACCCTGTTCAGCCACATAGCAGTTATACTGGGGACTTAGATTGCTACACAGCAACCTGAAGCCCTGAACTGTGTGAGAAGGATAATTAACTCCCAGGCTGGATGTTTCATAAACACATTATATCCTAAGAATGTATTATTTTAAATGACTCATATAACATCCTTGTTGGGGAAGATGTGGATATTCTTGTTTCCCCCACAATGGAGTCCCGAAACCCACACAGGGAATTTGAACTAATAAATGTCTGAGTGTGAAGCAGATACAATAAAACCACCAGGAGAATGAAGAATGTCAAGCATCAATGGAGGCAGTCAGTTAACTTCATTGCTGGATGGGGACAGAAAGTTAAGCACAGAATACAATGTAAGAGAGTTCAACAAACGCATGGTGAATTGCTTCGGATCGAATAAGTTAAACAAAATAAATATTATTATTACTTAAGACATGTTCACATTTGGCTGCATTTTCATAGCTAAGGTTTCCTACGGAACGAGGCAACAGCCTCCCACAAACCCTCCTTAATTGTCACTTATGACATGCTTGACAGGCTACAGTGTTACTATTCAATGCTGCCCTTGTGGCCCCGCCTTTAAAAAAAAAAGAGGAGGTTCCAAATGTCTTTCCTTGTGGGGCTGGGTATGACCTAATTAATAAATGTCTTCCCTTGAGGGTTGGGGAAAGATCTAACTAATAAATGTCTTCCCTTGTGGGTCTGGGTAAGACCTAATTAATAAATATCATCCATTGTCAGTCGGGGAAAGATCTAACTAATAAATGTCTTCCCTAATGGGTCTGGGTAAGATCTAACTAATAAATGTCTTACCTTGTGGGTCTAAAAAAGATCTAACTAATAAATGCTTCCCTTGGAACTCCTAGTAAAACACAGGTAAAAAATGGCTTTCCTTGTGGGTCTGGGTAAGACCTAACTAAAGAATGTCTTCCCTTGTGGTTCTGGATAAGACATAAGTAATAAATTACTTCCGCTGTGGCTTTTGGTAAGACATGAAAAACTGGTCAGAGTAAGATACAGATAACAATTGACTTCCTTTGCGAATCTTTATAAATCGTGAAAAATGTCTTCCCTTGTAGGTCTGATTAAGACACAGGTAACTGTGACGCCTAATAAGACATAGGTTATCTGTGTCTTTCCCGGTGGGTCTGAATTAGACACAAATAATACATGACTTCCTCTGTGGCTCCTGGTAAGACATGAGTTGACAAATTACTTACCATCGAATGTCTCCTGGATCTCTTTCTGAGTTGGCAATGGGTTGTTCCTGAGAAGTGTGTACATGGACATGATGATGCCAGGTGTACAAAACCCACATTGGGATCCATGGTTCAATGCCAACTGACGCTGAAATTATTCACATTTAAAGTATATTTATTTATAAACCAAGAAGGGACAAAGTCCGCAATCAGACAGTACGTCAAGATCTTGATACCCAGCCCTTACTAACCCGAGTAGATCAGTCACAGTTACGATGGTTTGGACATGTATGCAGAATGGGAGAAAATCGGCCACTATGGCAAGCATGGGAGGCTAAGAACCAGGAAACCAGACCTCCGGGACGACCCAGGGTGCGCTGGGAAGACAACATCCGACAGTCCCTAACTGACAGAGGACTGGAATGGAACAAAGCCAGAAAGAAAACTGCGGATAGAGACGTCTGGCGATCTCTCTGGCAAACCTCTACACCCCAAGGTAGAAGAGGAGCGACTAAGTAAGTAAGTAAGTTATTTATAAACAGTGAGGAAGAGAAGAGTCAGAAAACAATGAACTAGAAATGAGTGATGAACGATGTCGATATGTAATCTGGGCACATTCAATGCTACAAAAATGCCTGGGACACCATTAGAAGAAATCTAGAAATAAAAACATACATTAAAAATGCATCATAGTCTACATAAAAACATCTGACAAAGTAAGTAATCAAATAACTAATACAATTACTTTTTGTGTGTGTGGCAAAGATAGGTGAATAATACAGAAAACAGCAGTGTAAGCGTCCAACACCATTAAGGAACATTCCAGATCATCAGGATAGGTGTTAAGTGGCGGCTGAGTGGTCTCGGTGCATGGTGTTCACCTCAAGTACTAGAGGTCCCAAGTTCAAGCCTCGGTGATGGCTGGGATTTTTTGACGTGGACTTCTAGGAATTTTCCCTGGTCTCTGGTTAGTAAGATCAAACACCT